AAGCAAGAAGAAAACTGAGGAAATTAATTAATTATGTAGTAAAATCTTTAACCGAAGGAAATTAGTTTTCAGCCCCATATTGCACTAGGCCATTTGATATTACACGCAGTGATATGATATGGTTTACTATATGACGTTTGGAATACAATTTATAGTTCATATTGGAATCAAGGTAATCACTAAACTTAGTTTTTTTTTATAGTTCTACTGATTTGCCAATTTTCTACTTGACTCATATATATATATATATATATATGTATATATATAAAAGAAGGGAGTTTGTATTGTTACCTCGATATGAACATGAGGAATAAAATGTTCTGGAAACGCCACTAGTAACTAATACCATGCCACCGTATATCAAATGAAGTAGATTGACCTAATATGCAATAAAACCCTACCATAGTACCGAAATTCTATACGGAAAACTGGATTGTACGCAAATTATCCACGAGATAGTTTCTTACTTGTGGCTACGAGCTGAGTCGTTAAGACAAGTGATTCATTGTCACTTATGTTTAGTGGAAACAATCTGTTGAAACCTAGTTTGTTTGAAGTTTGGGATTGCATATACTTTCACGTATTATTTAAATTATTGTGCTTTAAAACTTTTTTGATAGTTCTAAGATAGCCTATTTGGAGTTGACAGTTAACAACTGAACAGTATGAGTAACAGCAGTATTTTTTATAGAAATAATTCATAGAGGTTAAATAATCTTGACGTAAAAATCATGAACCATTACGTTATAGTACAACACTGGGGCAATTTTTAACAGTGTTCGAAATCCGCACTGCAAAAAAGAGGCCTCAAAACTCATTATCGTCTTAAAATGTCTGTAATAATAAATATCTCAAAATTTATTTGATAAATAGAAGAATGTAAGCTGAGATATAGAGCATGGTACACTTGTATAAAACCCGCGTTCCTAAGCCTCGGCGAAAAAAGCTATTTGGTTTCTGTTAGGACTGACTAGATGATAGGTTCCATCTTCTCAGTCACTGAATATCATATGAAATATAAGGTGGGAAAGTCAAATTAGAGTTTACAAGTTTTCTGCTAATGTCAATTTCAACTTCATCTACCACTTGACATTCGCTAGCCAAAGTGCATATATCGGAAGAAATGAAAGCTGATAACATGTGTGCGAGCGTTCACGGGTATTTACACCGGAATACACCATAAGTCTGCCAAAGAGCATATTTTTATTAACAAAATGATAATGAGTATAATGTCAATTCACATGAATTGTCCGAACGAACTGGTAATAACCCAAAGTCGAATTTAGTCCCGTTTGATAACATATCTATCAAGTAGTTCAAACTTAGGTTTGTTCGAAATGTAACTGAGTTTTCACTTTGGTCTGTTTCGCTAACCGTTCTTCTGTTATTGTTGTCGTTTCATATGCACTCATGAGATCTATTTAAAACTCTTAAGTTAACTGCGTTAATTGGACAAATGTTACTTTTGGTTCAGATTCTTTCACCTTTATACTTGAAATATGTTACATAGTCGTAAGTTTTCAATTGAAAGAGTTCACGTCTCTGTTTGTTTCCCATATTTCTTTTCTGTTCCTAAGATATTCGCCAAAACCTTAAATGGCAAAATAACAATTCAGATGATCATCATTATTCCAGCATTCCTTATATACTGTAACTTTTTTCGATGTACTAATATTTCTCCGTTGTTTTATTGGACCAGATTGTTCGATCTCTTTTGGCATATGAGCTATGATGCGGATACCTCGATATTGCCTGAATATTTATCACGGTAATTTACTTGGTTGTGACTAGCAAAAGAGTCTATGATGTACGTTTCTTCCTATTTGGGACCCGTTAGCTAGATGTACCTGCACCCCAATGGGCGGTGTTGGGTACGAGCCCTTATGTCAACAGAGGTCAAACAGCTCGACCCAGCAAAACAACGGAGAATTATAAGTACATCAAAAAAGTTATAACTAATACCCGTTATACAGGAGGTGGCTATTGTGCCACAGTAGCCTAATGGATAACGTTGTGGAGCTTGAAGCGAGGTAAGAGTCCTCAGTTTCAGTGGGAACAACATTACTCACTAAGGTGCAGGTATATCCAGCAGACGAGTCGCAAATGGGGTGAAACGCTCATTCCGAATTCTTCTGCTACCCACAACCAAGTTAATTATCTTATATATTGACTTCAACAACCCATGTAGTTTTTCTGCGGGATGAAATAGAGTTTATGATAAAGTCTTCTAGTATTTTTGTTTTTACACTGGCTCTGAGTTGAAGGCGGTTGGACAGACTGTCGACATAATCAACTTATAAAAATGTTTTGGTCATTATTCTCTGTTTAAACTGATGAATAGTGTCCCTATCAAATTTTTAACTCCTGTTATCAGTGTAGAATGAATGGTTAAATGTAATCGTTTCTCAACTGTGGCATATTTGTGGATATACTTGTGTAGAAATATTTATACACCCATTAAAATGCGTAAAAGTATCGGAAATAAAGTCAAGAAAAAACTACAGTACATCTCTTTCACTTGTAATAAGTTCAGTGTACTATACTGATATAACGTTGGGAATGTTCATATTAAAAACTAGGTGAAAGAAAATTTACTGCAATTTTTTGACAGATATTGCATTGCTTCAAACACCAATGAAACTTACACAATTATCTGTCGATGTGAGAGATTCTATTACTATGTTTGTTAGATCCTTTATATTTCACACAGAGTTAATTCCCATTTAAAGTTTCATTGCTTTTAAATATATTAAAGTGGAAATATCTAAATGTACTTTTCTGCATATAAATCAGTTGATTTTCGAGAATAATTCTAATAGAAAATTTCAATTAATGGCTTTTTTAAAAAAGAACAAGAGTGATGATAATATGATTTCAACGAAAATATATTCTCAACTATATTGTAATGGTGGGTTGTGGATAGCAGTGAAATCCAGAATGTGCATTTCGTCCTATTTGAGACTAGTCAGCTGGATGTACCTGCCTCCCAATGAGTTTTGTTGTTCGCACCGGGATTCGGACTCAAGAGCGATCGCTTCAAACACGATAGCTTTATTTACTACACCACCGAGCTACGATAGTCACTTCTTGTGCAACAGGTATAGTTCTAGTGTTACTGGTTAACACACGGGCTTCTGTGCGGATGCTTTGATATTGCTGTGTTTTTAATTACGTAGTAGTGATGGATAGTTAAGAACACGGGCAATATCAAGGCATCCACACAGGAGCCCATATGCCAACAGAGACTGATTAATTCAGTCCAGTCAACGGTGGTGTAATACAAGCAATAACACAGAAAATATATTCTACTAAATTTTGCGAAACTATGACAGTAGCAATATCAGAGGACCAACTGACAAACATATATGCATGTATGCACATAGTATATACACCTGCATACGTATTACTGTTAGAAAGGATTGTTTTCTGACTGAACAGTTAACTATAATTAGCACTATAACGAGTTTAATTCATACATAACCGTAGGAGCTCAATTGTTGCAGTCGTAGGAGGGAATAAACATTTGGATCACTAGCTATGGAGTCATACTCTTAAAAAAATACTCTATTGGATTCAAATTTATTGCCAAGCCATTTTTAATGGCTTTAAGCTTTTACAATAAAAACATTTTCAGTGAGTTGATAGAATTTATTCAGTCGTAAGCACTCGTTTTTTGGAGCAGCATAACTGTATTTGAGATGTTTGTGCGTGAAATCAGAATCAAAGAGGCCTACAAGGTTATAAGACTTGACTACAACACTGGGTGACGTGGGTTTGAATCTCAGGCGGGACATCAATTCCGTCGAGGTTGCAGATTCGCTTTGCTGACGAGTGCCGAAAAGCACGAAACCTAGGTCCAGGGCTTTCTGCCAATTGCCTCCAACCAACTAACAGTTGAATTCTTCCTTGGGGAATTAAATCAAAGCTGCGTCTCATAACAAAACAGGTACCAACTTTGCATACGTGTACTTAATTGAGCATCTTTCACTACGTCACCCAATAACCTGTGAAATTCCATAAGTTCATGAAGTGAACTTTCTATATACCACACGATTTTCAGTCTACAAGGTGACTCATTATCTGAAATACTCCAACTAGTTAATGCCTGTTTTATTTTGTTTGAACGCTGTATTAAATTTTTACTATTTTCTTTGGTTTCTCATTGAATTGACTCCTCGGTGACAGATTATCACATAAACTTTTGCTAATGAACAATGACGATAGAAATAAAAAGTTATAAATGTTCAGCATACTGCAATTAATTTTATAATATTTACCCCAGCATTGCACTTGGGAGTGATTGCAAACTTTATGATAGACAAGAGCAAAAACATTATCTCTTTTCCTTAGTTTTATGTCTGTTGTTCCGAAAATCGTTTTCTTAGTTACCTTCAGAGACAACTGATAAACCTTTTGAAAATGTTGTAAACACTTGAACATATTCTAGGCTAGCTAACTTTCAAAATCTTTACGAAGAGGTTTCAAATACAAGTTTACAGTAAAATGTTCAAGAAAAGCCTTTAATAACTCAATTGAGTGATCTTTAAGAAAAGATCTTGATCAAATATTTTACGACTGGATTTAGATTTATATCTCTCAGTATCCTTTTGAGTTGATTTAATATTTTATTACCCAAATGATTGTTTTGTGAACTGTTTTATTCATGTGATTGTCGAACTTAAAAAAATTATACACATCATAACAGAAATTTTTATCACCTCTGTTTTTCGACCGAAAAAAAGAAGAAATCGCTGATATTCACTAAGTGTTTTATATTTTTTTCTGTGAAACTAACTACACAGTAAATTTATGATTTTGTTTTGGGTATTTGATGCGGGATGTATAGGGGTGACAGGTGTATATGTGCAAGTGTGTTGTAAGCTCGCTATACTTCAAGATTACTGGTTGAACCAAGCTTTTTCTGTATATGTTTATGTGTCCATTTGTGTGCTGATTTGCACAACCAAGGAATACAAACTTTTACATGTTAATTTCATACTATTTTATACGATTGTATGCTAAAACTATTTTGTATGTGTGCTTTACAAGTGAATATGTGGGAAATACTGTCAGGCTTGTGGTGACCAATGCTGTTCTCATACCACCAATAACTATATAATTGAAAAATGAAATGAAGATATTTTGCCCCATATAAATTATAAATTATAGTGACTTTCCTAAGATTTCGAATTTTGACACTATGCATTTTGGAGAATTCCATCAAGTTGTGGAATGTAATAGCATATTTGATGAAGTAACATATACTGTCTAATAGTCATAGCATTGATAGGACATACGCACAGTAGAAGAATAAAACAAATATTAACTTTTAAAATCATTTAATCGCATTTCCATTTCATAATACACTGAACAGAAAAAACAATATGAGTGACAAATTGTGGATGGGCTGTCAATCAAAATTACTTTTATCAATTTATTACTTAAAACTTAATATTATTTCACTTCTAATTATCAGTGAGTTGTCTATAATTTATGGCTTAAATGAACATGTCAAGGAACCAAATGCGGGTAAGCTGACACTAAGTGATGAATGCATGTTTACATATTCGAATTCCTAAATATTAAATTCATACCAGTATTTATTTCAGTCCACTAAGTAAGTTATTTGATAAAAGAAGTCAGCAACCTGTTTCACGTTAGGGTTGGAATCGTGTTGTGAACATCGTTATCTTTTACTTTAAGCTTTGACTGTTTATGTTCCCTACATCAAACAAAATTCAACTATTTACACTATTTCATAGAAGTTGATATAGAGTTGACAGGATAAACAGTCGTAAACAAAAGTATCACTATTGCAATACCATTACATTGAAAGCGTATAAGCATGATATTAGGGTAATTTTAAGTTTTCTTTTTATGTTTACTATTATGCTTAAATCCGAAGATCGGATAGTCGTATTGAACAGCAGATAAAGAACAGTGAAGATGACGTATAAAACTGCATAAATACTGACTGCTTTTAGAAAGTAAATTTTCTTAAAAATTATCTGACTGCCTTGACAAAAATAAGGTTGGTGATTGGAATGAAATTAGGATTAAATCAGCAGCTGGGTCTTGTGGATAACTTGGTAGAAAACCAAACAGGTAATCCGGAAGTTGGTAGTTAAAACCCTGTGGTGACCTAGATTTTGATCTCACCTTCAATCATCACCCGGTGTCAACAAACGTCTGACAAACCACAGCTATCCCAGATAGTCAAACTGATGAAGATAGTTGTCTCATCATGGCCATATGTTTAGGTAGGGCAAAAGGCATTTTACACTACTTTTTTAAAAAATCACCTATATATTCAAGGTACGTGGATAGTTTATCTAATACGTAGATATTATAATAATGAAAGTGATACGTTTGCAATATTTTTAGAGTAGTGTGAGTAATGATTCGGTTAAGGACAGAAATAAACTGAGAAAAGTGAAACAGTAGAATGGAGAAATACATTCAGTTGTTTACTTTAAGGTCTATGTTCGTAGGGAAGTTTTCACATAAAGTGTTTCTGAATTTTAAGTGTCACTTTAGTTGCCGAAAATTCTGTTGTTGCATGTTTTTCTAGTTGCGATTCAAACTGTTGAGTGTTAAAAATTGATATCGGATTGTCTTTCACGGCAATATGTGTGAGATAATGAAGAGACGAGAACTTGTGACATTCAGTTTTGATGAATCAAGGTATAAGGTAATACTTCTAGGTAGGCTATTTTGGAACACGAACTAAACAAATTATTTTTATGAACGCTAACCCATAAAAGTAAGCCTTATCACCCATGTATTCATTCGTGTTAGCGGATGATTAAATCATACAGTGTTTACAGAAGTGTATACTACTACTGACACGTTAATTGTTTTCACCAGTACTTCAGTTCTCGTCATCAATGCTATGGTAGAGCGTCGCTATTTAATAACTTCCAATGAATGATATACAAGGGACTATTATTAGTGCAATTTTCATCGTTTGAACATATATTCTGCTTTTAATAATTAAAAAAACAGTGTATTCATTTGAAACGTTTTTAAATACAACGCTGACTCATAAAAAGTTGCAGGCACTTCATAATACACTTCATAAAACAGATTAAAATAAAAAATCTGTTTTATCCGTGGTCCATATGAAATCGTCGGTGTGAGTTGTAAACGTTTTGCCACAGATACCATAGATTGTTATTCTTATTGTCATTTGAAGTGAATGGACTCAAGCCTGTGCTTGAACTCATTTTATGTCATCGAAACCTTTGCCTGGTTATGCAAACAAAATATGAACAGAATTGGTAGAAATTAAGGTTCAGGAAAAGGTGGGCGAAATTTCAAAGTCACTTTTCAACATATTACTATTACGATAAAGCGAAAATTAAACGTCACCGAGTTTCGCTAAAGAAGTAGGTACACCAGAATCGGGATTTTTAAGAAGTTTGATGATTAAGACAACTCTTTTGAATAGCGATAGAAGAATGTGTGGAAGTGTCGTATTTAGTGGAAAAGTTTTATGCAGCTTTTACTGTTATCAAACTAAAAATATACTAAGGACTATATGGCACAAATGTTGTCACCTACTCGATTTTAATTTTGACACGACGTTCATTTTGACATTTTGGAAACTTTTTCCCTGAGGACAGTAAACCAGAAACTAGAAGCAACTAGTGCATAGAGATTTTATTTTTGAATTCTGGGTAATTTTTGATACGTTTGCTTTTACAGTACAAGGTAGTTTTAAGTGAGATATGAGGAGGCGTAACCTAATTTTTAAATCTTACTATGCAGATTAAAAGCTACGTTAATTATTGTACAAGATACTTCAGTTGTTGGCAGATCCGTAGTTTCCTTAATCCTGCAAGTTATTGTGTCAAAAATGTCTTTATTTCGTTGCACCCCACTTGGTAATGATTGAAGTAAAGAAAACAAAGTATCATAGTCTGTTTCGAGGCCACAAGTTTGGACTACATAATTAAAAATATTTAAGGAGCACGGCCGGCTTTGTCTACTTACTTGTGACGTCAGCTGTCCATAAAAGTTACAGAAGTTAGGGTACTAATTTTAGTTAGAAGTACAAATTTGTTGCTCTTCTTGTAGAGCACTTATATAAAAGTTAACGGTATGTTTTGGATTTTATGCTTTGCTGAGTCCCGTTGGATTCACCAGTCTTGGTCATTTATAACTTAGGCTTCAAAGATACAGAAAGGTACTCAGTAATTACCCAATATTATTTTGCGTAAGTTAAATGTTCCCAGATTCGTTCTATGCTGAACTATTCACAAAGACTGAAACCTTAGTCTTAGAAAATGCTGTATGTGATATTCAAGTCGCTATAAGTTATTTAAATGCAAACATATCATATTTTCTTACTTCAGTTTTAAACAAAGAATGTGAAAACGATGACCCACTGGGGATGATTTCAGGTACTATCGCTGATTGGCAAATTACTGCTTCATCAACTTATCCACCTAGTTGGGTGAAGGGGTGTGAAGAAAGAAATGCTCGTTTATTTAGACCAAATGGTTTAGCTTGGTGTGCAAAGTTTAAGTCATCATCTGAATGGCTTCAAATTGATTTAGGTGTACAAGCATTGGTAAGTCATCATTTTTCTACTGCTCTAAGCTAAATTTAGTTTTAATTCCAATTATTTTTATTACCTAAGGTAATTAAAATCAGTTATTGATTGATTTCATTTGTAATACATGATGAATATAACTATGATGTATTTCACTGATATTATTGTTTCTTTACCACTTCACCGTGTTAGCTATGGCCCTCATTAGTAAACAAGAGACAAATTTACCTGAGTGGATCACTATTGTATTTTAAACTTCACTATTCGAATTGCCTGACACTGTGAAAGCTCTACAGTTCAGGTTTCTAAAATAAACAATGCCGAAGTTCGGTTAATAGTTTCTTGCAGACAGTGTGTAGAATTCTACTCTTAACGAAACTCTGCAAAGTTTCTGGCAATTTTCGGGTTGTTCACAACTTGTCGATAAGTTCTTTTACATAGCAACATTTCCTTAATTGTAGAGTAAACTTGACCCTGTTCAAAAAAGTGTGTTTAACGAATTAGTCCCATTCTTTTAACAAGGCGGGTTCTATTATACAATTATGTTTATCCTGTTTTAGTGAAACAATTGGCTTCTTTTTGTAGTAGCACATTTTGTTTCCCCTAGGCAGTTCATTCTTGAAAACTAGCCTGTAACTGTAAAAGAAAAACTCTCGACAATACAGTCGGATGTTTCAAGAATTATTAAACTACAAAAATATCAAACCGCAACTCGATAATAGTCTACATTTTTTGCAGAAAAACACGCCTTTAACATTTTGCGATTTGTTACCTGAATGTAACTGGGTATAAGCTGCGGAAAATATATTCACACATGTTTTTCGAAATGATGCCTGAAGGCTGAAATTACGTTGGCTTATGTGGAATTGACATAGCCCTATTAATAACATGATAATTCCATGAATCAGATAATTGAAATTAGGCCACTACAAATGCATGCACCTTGAGTGTAGTTTCTAACCTATTAGGTTGTTTGTGATATCATACAAACACCGTTGAAATTGGGAAATGACATATTTTTTTTAGTATATATTTTGGTTAAAGGAATGCCGTGAGTTGGAACACTTTCCAAGTGATTACATCCATTTCATATACGATAAATAATTCCCGTTAATTCTAAAGTTTCCTTAAGCACTGAAACAAGACTGCATAACTTGCACTAGAATAAAGCATCTCTTTACCTAAAGGAAAGTAAAGGATTCATATAAAGTTGGTAGTCAAGTAATGCGTCAAGTACACATTTTATGACTTTTCTTATCGTTTATTTCATTCTTTTAAAAGTGCAAATCGAATTTCCAGTAATATTCTGCGAGTTGACTTAATGAAGCAGCATTGTAAAGCACTGTTTAACGGCTATATATTCTCCTAGGTTATCATGGTAAATGTGAAAAGAACTTAAGTTTCATCTTAATCTCTAACCTAGGGACTTGACGCTATTCAACACTAACAATATTCCACAAAACCATATTCCTTTCTGTTTATCTTAAGTAATCAAATAAAAAGGTGGACGTGGTTAATCGGCCTTAAAAACATTGAATTACATTGTATAGCCTGATATGCTGTCTCTGTTTAGCATTAATCCACACTGAAAACATTTTTCAAATAAATGTATATGATTTCTGCATAATCCTGTTACTATTAGTGGCCTTCACTTTTATTCGCTATAATTTACTCGTATACCTGACTTGATAAGTTCATCGGCAATAAGTTAAAATAAGTTTGATAAAATTGTCTTTCAAATGTAGTCGAAAGCTCTAGACTCATGATTTATTGCTTATCTTTCTAAGCGTGAGTCACTAAGTGCAGTTTTCCTTAAATGAAGAATTCAAAATACTCATGTTAACTTTAGGTAAAAACATTCACTAAATCTTTTGGAAATATTCCTTTAAGCATGGTTTGCTCTCACTGTGTGAGTATTATTATTATATTATTATTAGTCCCTTGGGTTCCTAATGGAACATAGGGCTTCACTAGCACGTCTCCATTTCATCCTGTTCTCTGAGATCTTTTGAACCTGGTTCCACGACAGCCCATAACCTCTCATTTCCTCCTCGCACGACCTCCTCCATGTCACCCTCGGACGTCCAACTCGTCGCTTCCCATGGAGATTCCACTCGAAGGCCTGACGCGTGATGTCCCCAGTCGGTCTTCTCAGTGTATGCCCAATCCATCTCAACTCCCTTCCAGTGCATATTTGTTCAGCGATAGGTTCTTGGTTAATTCGTTCCCAGAGCTCCTTGTTGCTTATTCTCATTGTTCTGGCGATCTGATCTTCAGTAACCAGCTAGCGTAAGCAGTTGTTGATGAATGTCTGTAGTTTATTGGAAGTGCCTTTCGTGACGCGCCAAGTCTCTGAACCAGGCAGATGCACTGACTTGACGTTGGTGTTGAAAATCCGCATCTCATTCCACATGCTGAGTGCAGAAGATCTCCACACTGGTTTCAGGCTAATGAACGCCTGTCTTGCTTTTCCGATTCTGACTTTGACATCCTCGTCCGTCCCGCCTGTAGTTGAAACAGTGCTTCCTAGATAAGTGAAGGAGGTTACTTCCTTTAAGTTTCTCCCGTTGATGGTGATTGGAGTTTGTTGTTGGTGGTGGTGGTGGTGGTGCGGTATCTTCATCACCTCTGTCTTCTCTATATTCACTTGAAGTCCCGTCTTCGCTGCCCTGCCTCTTATGCCAACTTGTTAGTTTTTGCCTGTAGATCTTCAAGTTTATATGACATCAGGCACAAGTCATCAGCGAAATCCAAGTCTTCTAGGTTCTTCTCCGCAGTCCAGCGTATCCCCCTCTTCTCGCTCCCCACTGTTTGATGCACGATTCAGTCAGTCCACCACAATCAGGAATTTCATGGGGATAGTAGGCAACTTTATTTCTCTCCTGTCTTCACTTCAAAAGCATCACTGAGCTGGGCTGTCCATTGTGAATTACTTGGCATGTGGCATCTTCATATAGTTGTTGAATGAGGCTGATAAAGGTTTGCGGTACTCCGTAGTAATGAAGCAGTTTTCAAATACTGTGTGAGTATTAACCTACATAAATTGTTTGTAGTATCTAAACTAAAGGACTGTAAACTCTGACTCATAGTCATCAATGTCTTGCCTATCTAATGCACTTGACGAAATTAGCTGGGACACTGCTCAGGATACTAAGCAAATGCCAGCTGATACTTTTCAATCGTCAATATACATAACACATTTCTATGTTCAGGAGTTTACAGACCTGTAAACAGAATGTTTTGAATAATTTTGAGCTCTGAGATGCAAGATGATCAAAATTCTCCCTAATCAGAAAAACTTTTTTCTATGACATACCTATTTATCTAGTTAGTTTCCCCTGATTATTCCTTTTCGAAAAGTGCAAATAAAAGAAAAATCCCATTTTATAAAAGTTTCAAACACATTTTCTTTAAAGATGGTCTAAAAGATATGAACCATAGACAGATAATTAGGGTCAGTAAAATCCACTGTATGAAATATTTTCCATCTTGTATTACTGGTTGAAATATCAGCAACCTTTAAGGAGCTGTATAATACAAAAATCACTTTCTTCAATAATTTACAGTATTAGACAATTTAGCGGTATTTCTGAGCTTTTATTTTCTTTATTCAGTTGTTTCATAAGAAAGACTAATTACTTCTTAGTATTTCCGATTAGCTTGAATGAACTTTTAAGTGAAGAAAGAAATGGAAATTTTTTTAACATTTCAGAAACATGAGGTAATGACTCTACACAGAGCACAGCACTGCGTTTTGGCATGATGATTAAAGTATGTAAGTGTTATATAGATAGTAGAAGCGCATAAGCACTATTGTCACGAGTATTTGCCCAGTGATAAAAAAATATATATTGGTCTAGGAAAGGATATTTTCTTACTGCTAAATGCACATACTGTCATAATAATTACTGCCCAGTTATATCGTTTTGCTGAGACGCAGCAAACACTTAAGCGTGTATATGATAGTATTTTCAAATCAACAGGCGACAAAATCCTATTAATTTGGTGTCGCACAGAACCATATTTGTCAAATGAAAACATCTAGGCCTCTGTTTTTTACTGACCACACCACAGTTAAATGGTAGTAACAATAAAACTATGGGTTGCATAACGGTTCTAGTATGATTTATAAGTTTTTCCAGACAGAAGCGCTGCATAAATGAACAAAGTGGTTAAGGGTTATATAGTTTTCAACAGTAGAAGTGCGTAAGCAATTTTTAAAATCTGAATTTGGCTAAGTGATATATAAATATGTAGGAAAACACTTTTCATACCTATTTCTTTAAGTTGGCAAGCTACATGAACTTGCATCTGTTGGAGAACCATTGAACTCCGTAAGCATTCGACAACTGTTTTGTCCGAGCAAGGAACTCCTCAGTAGTGCACAGTCATGGTGGCCCAGGGATCGAAGCCAGGATCTTCATATTTCACGTCGGACATGTTACCAATGAGCTGCTTGGTCAACGTCCAACGACCGATATATTCCTACTTCTGTCGATTCGCGATGTAGTACAACAGGTAGAGCAAAAGGATTTGGATGAAGGTGCAAATATTGGACTATGGCATTCGCTCCTCACCAAGTGACTGAGTGGCAACATGCTCAACAAGAAACCCAAAGTTACTGAGTTTGATTTCGGGTGGAACCATAGGTGCTCATTGTTTAGAAGTTCTTTGCCATCCAGTAATCTTAAGTTTTCAACAGCTGTCCGGCTGGTGTCAGTCACAGATGAATATGAAACTGAAATCAATAAATCTTCATGAATCTCCATGCTGACTCACTTTGCGAAGTTAAAGTAGTAGACTGGTTACACTTTCTCATGATTTCTGATGTTTTGCGTGTACTAACACTATTTTTTTGATTGCATTTCCTTTCAAATATCTGATTTAATGGTCAGTATGTAATGGGCATAGTTCTAGACCGCTTATTTTCGACGTACAAATAACCTGGATGAAAGCTAAGCATTATCAGGTGAAATGGATTTATGCTCTCAGTAGTTACGTACAAGAAGATAGAAACA